TGGATCACTAGGGAGGGTTATGTTGGATGAATCCTGATCAATAATTTCTTGAGAAAGTTTAAAGTAATCATCTTTCAACATTACTACGGTAACATTACCTTTGCCAGATTGAGTCGCTACTAACTTAGGGTGAGATTGGAGGAAACGTTCAGTTTCTTTAAAGAGACTTTGTAGGAGAGAAGGGAAACTCCTACGTTTAAACAAGTTATTAGTGATTATGTTAATCGATCTAGCAATTGCAATATTTCTACAATCAGGATCCGGAATTAATGATGATATAAAATCAATATCAGATAAAAGCGGTTTAATAGGAAAATCAATCCCCAACCGTGGTTCAATGCTAAACTTACGACCTAACGAGAGAAACTTAATAACGTTTGATGGAATTTCAACTGGGGAGATATTTTTTATCCAAGAATCCTTAGTAGAAGGTATTGATTTTTATTATTGATTTATCATTTAACACGTTTGCTATTATTAATAAGATATTTTTTTGGAAAAAATTGTGTGTTTTTTTTTTTTTTAAGAAACGTGATCTTAAAAAAGATGTCTTGAAAACGGTTTCGTACCGCCTATGCGAATCCGCAAACTTTCTCGTGACGTAGTTCATTCGACAGAACAAACTTGTAACCATTACAACAGGAATTAAATTTAATGATACCGAAAATTTATTAGAGAGCAAAAGGCAACACAAAAGAACTTTTCTAATTGTTGGTGGAACTTCACAAACTTCAATCATTCTTGTATTAATGAGGACGCACTGCAATTTTCATTTGTCAGCTTTTGTATTTTGCGTTTTTGGTGGTGATGGTGGAGGCGGTGGGTGAAGCGGTTGCGGGGGTCTCAATTAAAAGGCACAACTACTCTTTTTAATGACGAAGTATCGCTGAATAATACAAAATGGTGTTACCTTTAAACTTTTTCACAAAAGAATACAAATGTCTGAACAATTAAATGGACTACATGCAAGTAACGCATTAGCGAATGTTTTGTACACGGAAAATTTTATTACATTACCGATATACGTTAAAGTAGAACAAATTAAGTGAAAAGTAAATGTACAAAAAGATATGTACATACAATTATGTTACATATCTTGTTTTAATATTTATTAAAAATATTCGAAAATGTCATGTTTTACATGATGTTTTATTAGACATTAAACACATGGGAAAACAAGTCCTACAAATGAAATAATAATTTACTGGTTTTTCTTTACCGAAATAAAATTTAATTAATTAAAAGTACAACTTACCAAAAAAACAAGAATGAGTCACTTTCCTTACTTGTAAATATTAATTTGTGGTATTTTGTCACCAAGAAATAGTTTTATAAATAAATTAGTACATATCACCATATTTCCATTTATGATTACTAGTGACAATAAAAGTAAGACCTTAGTACTCCTCTGTCTTCGTAATATAACACCTCTCTGTATTATAACACCTTGCTCGTTTAGATGCTCTTTTAACAATCATATTTTGGTCTTGGTTATTGTGAGTAATGTTCAATGCTCAATTCCCTGGAAATATTTAACAGTTGAAAAAGCCGAATTAAGTGTTCCGATATTAGTTTTTTTCTTAAAAAGATAATCCAAAACCAAATAGTCGCTGGCCATCTCTTAGTACGTCTTCCAAACTTATAATTACCACAAAACTGATCCAGTACATCTTTTTTTTTTAATTGCCGTATTGCCAGATTCCAGTAAGAACCTAAGAAGGTATCCATTGAAATCTGACATGCAACAGTGGGGGAAATCTTTTTTGGACCTCTACGTCACGGAACAAGACACCCTGGTATATTTCGGCCGAGTGGCCAGTGGATACTAAGCCAGATGCTAAGCCTTAACCACCGTTCCAGAGAGGTGGTCTTGCCACTCAATAAACAACTAAAATAAAAAACTAAAAATTTATATATAACCATATCTATTACCGTAAATCAGAAAATGTTAAGACGTTAGGCCATAAACTAATAAACAATATTAACGGTACATTTTTAGAACCTGGTTTAATTTCCTCCTCTGTCCTCTTTTTTCTTTTTCTTTATCACCCCAGAAATCAGACAGTGTACCTCATTCTTTTTCTCCTCTCAACATTATGTTTACAATATTTCTTTCATCCAGCCCGAAACCCATTCGCCTCTTTAAATGTCCTATTTTATTTGCCCATATCTGGCAGTTAAAAGTGTGGGCGGATGCATCCGGTACCGCACAGACAGTACAGTCTGCCGAGACAAATTTACCTATTCTATTTGTGAAGGTGCCAAAACTACCATGTCCGGTCAGAAACTGCGTCAGAAAGTAGTCTAGTTTCCTGAACTTAAATTCCCACCACGATCTCAGATCAGGAAGAAGCTCTTTCGTCCACCTCCCCTTTCCACTATCATTCGCCCATTTTATTTGCCACTCCACTATTATTCTTTCTCTTTTATTCTCATATATATTTACATCCATCCTCCTCACATACACCCTCGCTCTCTCTTTACACAACAAAACAATCGGTATCACCGCTTCAATGACATCTAGAGCCTCATTTGAGACTGTCCTATGTGCACTAGACACCCTGAGAAGCATTCGCCTTTGCGAAGTCTCCATCAGCTTACCGTATTTCGCAGTGTTTAGTACACTACACCACACAGGGGCAGCGTAGGTTACTACCGACTGGAAAACTCCATTTACCACCTTTCTTTTGGTGCTTGTTGGGCCTTCAATGTTTGGCATCAACCGTATCGACGCTTCCAGATTTCGGTTCGCCTTTTCTACTATCTTTTGGATATGCACTCCGAACCTTAGACCTTCCGACAACCAGACTCCCAGATATTTAATTGATTTAACCGGTGCAACCTCCACTATAAAGCGAAGAGGGGATCTTTTTCGTGTCCCTTTGAGAACTAACACCTCGGTTTTCTGACGCGCTAGCTGTGGATCGTTGTCTCTAATCCACCTACTAAGGCGACGCAGGGCTGTATTAGCTGCATTAGCCATGTCCGTTTTCTGACTCGCCTTCGCAACCAGTGCCAGATCATCAGCATAAGCTACAAGAGAGCATCCCTTTGGCATCTGTAGCCTCAACACCTTGTCGTACAGGACATTCCACAGGATGGGACCTAGTAATAAACCCTGTGGAACACCCTGCGACAAACTGATGCTGGTATCTTTTTCTCTTATAAACCTGTCAGTGAAGTATCTATCAATTACGTTGACCAGGTATTCACCAACGCCCAATTCTCTAAGCCTAGTACCTAATAGTACCTAGTACCTAGTAGCCTAATACCTCTTTCTCTTAACCTTTACCTTTGGGTATAAGGACAACCTGAGCTTCTTTCAATATTGTTGGAAACTGCTGTTGTTCAAGCAGTTTGTTTAGAAATCTCAGAAAAACGTGCGAGTATTTTAGTGCGGCGAGTCTTACTGTCTCCGGCATGACTTATCTATGCCAGGTGCTTTCGGATCTTCATCTGTTCAACAGCCTTGCCAAGTTTCAATTCAGTGAAAGGTTAGGCATAGACGAAACCAATATCCCTTTCACGCCTATTCTCCACCTGAGGAAAAAGTTTCCGTATTAAACGGTGTTTCTCCTCCTCAGGCAGGGGAGGTCTCCTCCTGTTTCCCTTTCAATTCGGTACAAATAATCCTAAGCCCCAAATATCCCTTTCGAGATCCTGTAGCAGGTTGCTTCACCTACTCTTCTTTCTTAGATCTTCTTATCTCATTCCTGTATTCATTCTGCATTCGCTTTAATTCATTTATTCTCTCCTCCAAATCTACTGCTTGTACTCTTTTCAACCTCTCATGCAGTTTGTCCTTAGATTTTCAAGCTACTCGTTCTACCAGTATGGTTGATTTATTTCATTCCTCCCATTTGATCTTACACAAGCCAACTCTTGTGCATCACTCAGACCCTCAATTAACTCACACACATCCTCACATCCCATACTAATCAAGCCAAAAGCATCTACAAAAACCTCCTCATTTAATCATCTCTTTAGATTGATATCCCCATTTTTACGTTTTTGTCTTTTGCTAGCTATTTCAAAACTCACATACTTGTTTAAGCTAAGCAATTCTTCTTCCAAAATAGTCCAGCTCACGACCCTGTTTAGAAATTTGGTTGAAGCCAGTGTGATGTCGAGAAAGGATTCACTATTACCTCTCACGAACGTAGGTATCTTACCGTCATTTAAAACGGTAAGCCCCATTGCGTAGATCCATTCTGATAGATATTTCCCTCTTCCATCTTGCACTCGTGGGTTTCTTGGACGATCCGTCGCATTCAGGTCACCAGCTATGACGACCGGTACAGTCTCCAACCTATCTTTAATGATCCCCTGTCTAGAAACTAACTTTACGTTGGGATCCTGAAATTGAATTATGTCATAACCTTCCCTCCGTGCAAGTGCCTCTGCAACATCGTGAGCAGCCCTCGACCTTCCCACATTTATTTGTAGAAACTTCGTAATAAATGGGTCTCATCTTTTTAACTTACTTACCCGTACGCTGTCTGATAACTGGTCCTAAGTGCTTTCATCCACTCTTTCCTTCTCTCTTCTGACAGAGTCTCTCTTGACCTACCGTTTTTCCAATATCCGTTTTCTATACTCCGGGCATCGTAAGCTGTCGGCTTTGTGCCCAGCTTCTTTACAAGTGAGGCAAAAAGCCTCCGAATGACTGCATTCTGGTACCTGGTGACCCTCTTTGCCACATCTATAGCAGCAGTCCGCTCTGTTTTCTCCCTTGCATTCATTTTTGCTATGCCCGAACTGCAGGCATCTAGAGCATCGCTGGATGTGCAATCTCTCTAGTATCTTGCACGAGTTCCAGCCGATGGGTATGTGTTCTTTCTACAATGCTTTCTTGACTGCGATCCGCGTCAGTCCGACCGTGAAGTTTGTATTCCCGTCTCTATTTTCCATTATAGAGACGAGTTGGACATCGTTAGTCCCCCTGCTGCCGGTATATCTCCGAACGTGCCTCAGAATTTCTTCCTTTGTAACATCTCCGTCTATATCAAACATGTCCACCTAAACTGGCGCTCGGCCTGTTCTTTTCCTGCAACTTCAAGGATGATATCTCCGCCGCTGGTCTTTTTAGCGCTTTGGACACTAATCCCCTCCTTCTTCGTATCTACGCTACCCTTTATTTGTTTCAGCAACTTGGCATAAGATTTTCCGCCTCCTTTTATGATAACCTTCTGCGTCCCCGCCCTAATTTCTTCTTGTTCATACTCCTCCAACACGAAGTTCAGGTCCATACATTGAGATCCAATACATCTAGTCTATGTCTATGTCTAGCCGTGAACAAAAGAATCGTAGACCTATATAGAGCATTTGAGGAAATAATCGTAGACCTATGTACAGCACTGGAGGAAAGAGTCGTAGACCTATGTAGAGTAGTGGGCGAAAAATATGCGTCGAGCACTAGATGAAAGAATGCAAGCTTATATGTAGCATTGTATAAAATATTGGGTTCTCCTGTCAAGCAGTGGACGTTCAATTAGTAAATAAAAAAAAAGCTGAAAAAGATCAGCTGACGAAAAGAAGAAGACGAAAGAGACGAAATGACTCGACTTGTTAGTGAGCGTGACGTCACTCAAACACCTGAACAGATGCAAACATCAAAGGATGCCGCTTTTTCCCACTTTTTATATTTATATGCTGATGTATACAAGGTAAGCTCAGAAAATACAATTTATGTTACAGTGATAGGGGGATATGATCACAGACGGTTCTTCGATAGCCATCAGGCAACAATTCCCCGATTTATGTTAAAACATACAGAGAACAGTTTACGTACTCAACTCAATAAGTGACAGCCCGTTTTGTAAGCGAGTCTGACAGACACTCTAAGTTTACAGTACTACTCCCACAGTGTGGTACCTGGCGTATTTCTGTGTGGGAAATGTCGACCATCCGTTTTTTACTAAGTATGAAGGAAACCATCAAATATTCAACGTTAAAATGTTATATAATGTATTAATACGATCAATTATTAAAGAGTAGTGACCAAACTCTTGCGAGTTGCATACTATATTTTATCTAGTACATCTAGTAACGTTGTAAAAATGTATTTATTATATTTGGCAGTTTTTTTCTGTTTGTCAAACGTTGTCATGAGATAAACTAATCAATTTTTTTACGTAAGACAACAAGGTTACGTCTTAAGTAAAATCAAAGTCATTCCTCACAGTATCACCCAGATCAATATTACTTAGTTCAGAATAAGTATCATAATCAATAATAATTGTTTTAGCGTTAGAAATATCATCATGACTCTTCTTCTGCTGGGTTAGAGGTTATTTTTTTATCTTTTAAATTGGCAATTATTCTTTACAAACTTAAGGTATGGTAAAGTGTAATACCTAACTAAGTAAAAGGTTAAAGCGACTACTGCACGCAAATGATATACTTGGTATCGTAGGAAAAGACGAGTCCTCCCATCTTTATGAGAAATAAGTACACAGTTTGATTAGGGCAAAAATTGACCCTGCCATTCTTATTTAAGATTAACCTCGAAACAAATATTAATGAACCAGGCCAGTTAAACAACAGAACATGTTACATACGTAATATCTCAAACGTGTTACAAAAGATTCTTAAACATATTATAATTCCCAACAGCTATAGCTTCAGTATAGCCGTAAATATGTTTAATACAAGAGATAAACAAAATACTTCTAATTATACAAGCATTAGTCTTGATTTTGTTCGTTATTTAAATCCACGACCATTACCGATCGTTATAAATCATGTTGTGTCGGTCACATAGCCAAGCGGGCTGCGCGGCCGGATTCTCATTCGCTTCACTGCGAGTGGTTCAGCGGATGTGAGTTCAATCCCCAGCTTGGTGTACACAAAACAAAAAGGCTAACGTAGCAGTTTAAAATTCTAAATAAATCTGCCGCTTAGACTAGAATATGCTGGTATCTGATTTATTCAACACGGTGTACGATACGGGAATAATTCCACAAGAGTGGCTGAAGTCAGCATTTATAACTATAAGACATGAAAAACTAATATCAATACTTATGAACAAGCGCATTTGCAGTAAAATCATAAATATAGTGCAAATATTATATTGAAATCAAAGTGCCATAGTTCAAATTGATGGGCAACACTCAGAAGAAATGAAGATCTGTAGAGGAGTTAGACAGGGATGTGTTTTATCGCCACTTTTATTCTGAAGAAATTTTCCAAAACACTCTCAATAATATCGAAGCGGGAGTCACCGTTAACGAAAAATTAATTAACAACTTACGATATCCAGACGACACTGTTGGTATCGTGATAGAACAAGTAGAAAAATATCAGTACTTGGGAACTTTGATCAATTAAACCAATAATCATACTGTAGAAATAAACAGGCGAATAAAGATTGCCAGATCAGTAGTTATACGAATGAAGCCACTTATAACGTACAAAAATCTAAATTTGGAGATCAGACTACGTACTATTTTCTGTTATATATTTTCAATATTATTATATGGAGCTGAGACTTGGACATTAAAAAAATGCAATTTAAAAAAATCGAGGCCTTCGAACTCTGGTGGACTATCATGGACTGATAGAATTACAAATAAAGAAGTACTGAATAGGGTTGGTAAAGAAACAGAACTAATCACCACTATACAAACCAGAGAACTGAAATACCTAGGCCACGTGATGAGGGGTCCAAAATATAAAATTTTAAGACTCATAATACAGGGAAAGATTCAAGGAAGAAGATCTGGTGGCCGAAGGCAGAACTCATGGTTAAAGAATCTACGTGATTGGTATCAATGCAGATCGATTGATTTGTTTAGAGCAGCAAGTTCTAAAATAAAAATAGCCATTATGATTGCCAACCTTCGTAGGGAGCCGGCACTCAAAGAAGAAGAATCAATTGTGACAAATTTAATCGCATAAGTCATGCACCAAGAACTCTCCCACTTTTAAAACAAAAAGAAGTTTTTGTCATTCTTAAAGTGTAACTTGAACAAACTATTTACTTAAGTACACAAACAATCTAGGCCTTTCTGCCTAAAAATCATATAGCGAAGTTGTTTGTATTATCTTTAAAATTAAAATGCATTGGGCGCCAATACTTACGAAATAGTTTATCTCTGTGAGGAAACGAGCTCAGACAAAGAAATAAAATGAAAAAGTTAAAACAATGTTAACCATTATTATTTTGTAAGGAACAAAAGTTATTAAACGATTCTAATTTAAAAAGGTTACGTCATCCCAGGAAAGAAATAAACAAATGAGTTATGGTATTAAGTTACAAATGGAAATAAGTTACACAAAACTAAAATTAAAATCCAATCGTAAGAAAACAAACATTTTATATTTTAACATTCGATTATGAATGAGGAATATATGAAAATATAATTATTATGTTATCCCAAATTTTAAAATTCGTTTAAATGAAAAATACCTTTGTATATTAGGTAGAAAAGAAATTTTTATTGTAATTACAATATCAATAACAAATCACTTTACTGTTATTTGTTTCGTAGATAATCTTTACTGTTCATAAGTACCACCTGAATTATCCAAATGATTTTGTGGTGTGCAGAAAGGATATAATTTTTTAACCTCTATGTATTCAGGCTGGCAGAAACGTTGAATCTATTTGCAGCAAAAAAATAATGTCCACTATAAAAATATAGAGGATTGGGCGGCTAAACAAATAAGACATTCTTCGAATTGTTGCTTTCAGAACACATTTACCATAAACCTATAGCTATTTCTATAACTTCGGGCCAATAAACATAGTTCTAGTTACTATTAGTGCTTCCAGTAAGGATCTAAAATAAATATTTCTTTAAAAATATATAAGAGAAAAGGAATTTTTTTTGGCTTACCTCATCAAGAGACCACTAAAACAAAATTTTTCTTCTGTGTGTTGGACGTACAAAGAGATAAAGAACGGTGAGTGGCGAAAAGTTTACGAACGCTCTAATTTTGAGGGTACGCCGACGGTCGGAGCTATTAGAAACTACAATAGCGTATTTGGGGTAATTTAGATGTACTCGGAGGATAGATGGCGTGAGCAACATTGATTTGCAAAATAATTTGAAACTTTTGAAACGGTTATAAAAGATATGAGGAAATTAATGTTATCAAATAGTCGACTAGCCCCTGGTGTTCTCCAGGGGCTATTGGTAACCAAGAAACATGGCTCCATGAGGTTCTGTATGTACTTTAGAAGATTGGCAATATACTAAAAATTAGCAACGCTCAGCTACAAGTAAATATAAAATTTTGCAAGCTCTTCCAAGAAAAAGGTATTTTCCTTTTGCTGCAGCAGACCCAACAAAACTAAAAGCAGTAAAATAATGGCCAACATAAAGAAACAAATACAATATCCGCAATTTTCTTGGCTTTTAAACTTACTAACGTCGCTTCGTAACTCGTCTGATGAGTCACGTTTTGAAAATATTTCTGCGAGTAATACACAGCAGAATTTATACGCTGTTAGAGGACAGAATTAGCAATACTCAATTTGGGTTTAGGAGTGGCTTGGGTACAAGAGAAGCCTTGTTTAGTATGCAGGTGCTAGTACAGAGATGCAGAGATATAAATCAAAATGTGTATATTTGTGCAATCGATTTTGAAAAAGCTTTTGACAAAGTCCGACATAACAAAATGCTAGAAATATTGGAAACAGCTGGATTGGACGATAAAGATCTACGAATAATTACAAATCTATACTGGCATCAAGTGGCAAGAATAAAGGTTGAACAAGAACTGTCGGATGAAATAAATATAAAAAGAGGAGTGAGACAAGGCTGTATATTGTCGCCTTTACTTTTTAACTTATATTCGGAGGAAATATTTAAGGAAGCCTTAATGGAGACAACCGAAGGTATTATTGTGAATGGAGTAACCGTCAACAATATTAGATATGCCGACGATACCTTAGTCCTTGCCAATTGCGGAGAAGACCTTCAAAATCTAATGAACAAAATAAAACAGACGTGTGACCAGTATGGACTAAAACTCAACGTTAAGAAAACTAAATATATGATAGTTAGCAAACAAAATTATATACATGATGACGGTATAAAAGTCGGAGATGCCACACTGGACAGAGTAGAGAAACTCGTGTATCTCGGCAGTAATATCAATGAGAGCTGGGATCCAACCGCAGAAATTAAAAGCCGAATAGAACAAGCCCGAGCTGCCTTTGTAAAAATGAGAAACGTACTTTGCAGTCATGATCTTAGCATTGACCTTAGAGTTCGTATGGTATCTTGCTACATCTTTCCTG